AAAGGTTGACATTAAAAGTAAAGGTAAATAGTTTTGAAAAACAATGGCTTTTGTTTTCTCAGAAAAAAAACTTACATTATTAATTAAAACCCTGCTGAAAAAAAACAGCTTAAATCAGTCTATGCTGGTTTTACCTGGTCGAATATGCCAGGAATATGACCAGCTAAATCCAGATTGACCAGGATGGTCTTAACTCACTATTGGTATAATTTTAGAAAGTGTTAGTTTAAAAACGACTATGCTGTTTGAGTGATTAAAAGCAGTTTCACAAAACATGTAATGCTATGAATATTAAATCTGCAAGAAACTTTGTAGATTAAAATTAATTTATGTAGATGACACCAGAAGTCACCCTCATTAGTTTAAAGGCATTTGGTGTATTTTTTTAATTAAATATAGACACCCTCCTGTAATTTACACCCTGAATATATTTAAAATAAGATTAATAAACTGAGTGATGTGATTAAACAGGAGCAACTCCATGCAAATGTCAATCCTGCCAAGAAAATAATTAAGTTTTCACCAAAATATCGAAACTCTAGGTTTTTAGACTAGGCTTGTATTAAAGTGCTGTAAAATACTCAAAAATATATCTGTCAATGTTTTCAAACTATTATATTTGATTTACCAAAAACACAAGTGCAAATTTCACATCTGTCACATCCATAACAAAGATTTTTTTTTTTTTTTTACATAAATGCAAAAATATAGGCTAAATCAATCTTCTACAGAGAGCCAACTCTTATTCTTTCGATTAGTATTGTTTCTTTTGGGTTGTGCAGTTTAATTCATTGTATACTGTAAACTCGCAGACTTTTTTGGTCACATCCTATATGGCATGTTTATTTCCCTCATTTAAAATATAAACATTGATATTTTTCTGATCCCATAACTCTGGTTAGCTGTTTGGGGAAATATAAACAGATGTTTGAATATTATGTTAACATATACTTTCGTTTTTAATTTATGTTTTAAGTTTTTACTGCAAATGTCACATCTGTAACGCTGGAATTGCTCATAGCTAAACCAGATCATAGCTATAATTTCTGTTTGCTATATTAAACACCAAAATGATAATTATATATTCCAATTAAAATACAATCCACTAAAAATAGCCCTTTAGTGTAACAATCACCACCTTCATTCCTGCTCCTCCTCCGCATATATTTAAAACCCAACGCCCCTCTTGCGATGAAGCTGATTGGACTAAAACCTCGACTCCCGACCCCCAACTGGACCTAGTCCACCATTTTCTCCAGGAATATTTAAACCTGTCCGACACACTCATGCGCGTCATTTTCATCCTGCTGTCATAACAACATACAAAACGCTCTTTGTGTTTCGTAAGACCGAGACAATAGGAAACGTCTAGAAATTGTGGTGGGTGTTGTTAACCAGCCCTTTTTTTTGTATTCATCCACCAATCAGCAGGACCGAGAGCAGGTTGAGTTGTTGTTGGTACAAGTTCAGTACGAGGGCGCACGCAAAAAGGACTTTTTTCCGCATGGCAAGGCGTGACCGAAACTATTAATCAAGCTTTATATGGTTTAATTCGAGACTTGAGGTAGTTATTTGTTATTTTTAAGTAAACTAAACGCATCATGGTCACACTGACAGCCATCGTAGCGCCTCTCGGACGTCAAATCCACAGGCATCTGGTCAAACATGTTAGAAGCCAGCGCTGGATTCCTGCTCGGGCGTGTAATTTGACTGCATGTTCCAGCAAACTATCAATCCTCAGTCAAGGTTGGTGCATTTTTTCTTTCTTGTATCTTTTTTTTATGCGTCAAGGTAAACAAACACCACATTGTCTGAGTTGGTGACGTCAGTTTGATAGGCTATCGTTTCATTAATTAAGCCACTACGCTTTTATTACATATGTTGTGTCATTTATGGCACGGTTGTTTATTATGCACATACAATTTGTGTGTTTACTTTATATTTTCTGTAAAAACGGCTTCTTGCATGACTTCCGGGTTTTGAATGGCTTGGAATGTTTACATTAACACATGTGGTTATATCAGAATGTATTATGTTGAAGCTGTTGCAGTAATGAGTTATGTAATAACACACATTTCAATGGATGTATGTGATAATAACATCCGTTAAAATCGTGTTTGACAAGCGTCGACTGTTTTTTTTCCACAAGCCCCGCCCATGAGAGGTATATAGGGGTCATGTTTATGGTGTCAGCTGAACATTCATTCATTGAAAAGCCCACTGAAGATACAATAAACGTCACATGGGACTGGCTGTTTGAACCTTGAACGTCCATAAACTTTTTAATGAACAAAATGTTTTTTACATAGTTAAAAGAGTTATTAAAATTATAATAATTGATATAATAACAATATATATGAGCAATTCCATGCAAATGTCAACCTTTCCATGAAAAAAATTTAAATTTTCACCAAAATACGAAAACTGTTTCTGGGTTTTTTGGGGTAAGAAGGTATTTTATAGTCCTTTAGAAATACTCAAAAATGCATCTGTCAATGTTTTCAAACTATTCTATTTGATTTACCAAAGTCTCACAAGTGGCAATTTCACATCTGTCACATCCATAACGGAGAGACGTCACATCCATAAGGACACTTTTTCCTCCTAAATTTGAAAATAATAAATAAAATAAAATCAATAATTTTTGTTCTATAGAGAGCCATCTCTTATCCTTTTGATTATTATTGTTTCTTTTTGGTTGTGCAGTTTAATTGACATAATTTCTACAAAGTATGTTGTATACTTTAAACCCTCAGACTTTTTTTGTCACATAGATAACACATGTTTATTTCCCACATTTAAAGTACAAAACATGTTTACAGTTTGATATTCTTCTGGTCCCGTAAGTCTGTTGGTATGTATGTTTTAAGTTTTTACTGCAAATGTCACATCCAAAGTGCTGGAATTGCTTTTATATATATATTTATACAACAGTTCTGTCTGGTTCTCGAATCTGATTGGCTGATAGCCGTGATATATTTAAGTAATATCAGCACCCGTACAGCCTCTTTACCCTTTGTGTATTACTCCATATACAGCGAGCAAAAAGCAGAGACTACAGATCTAAAGTTTAAAAGATACTTGCTCAGGTGTTTAACTTTGACTGTTTAACAATTATGATTTGAATCCAGCGCGGAAGAAAGTAGTTCTTCCGCCTGCGGCCTCGTGCCAATGCACGACTCACCAGTGCTGATATACAGCCATTTTGCACTGCTACGAGTGTGATATTGCAATTATACAACAGTTTGACGGCATAATTGTTTATATAAAACTTTTGTTAGGATGATCGTCTAGTTCAGGGGTGCCCAAACTTTACGCATAAAGGGCCATGTGCCGAAGGTAAATATATCAAGATATAGTTTACATTAAAGTTGCCTTGGCTAATTTCCTTATTTATTTCATAAGAATTAAAAGTAAATAGAAAAACATTACTTAAAATCATATGAAAAAATTCACTATAATATTTAAAATGATAACTTATTTGCAATAATAACATAAACATTGAAATTTATAAAACAGTGGATTTCAGTGATAAATACGCTAGCTAGTCAAGCAGAATCTGCCTATGCCTTGATTTGTTGTCTGTCGGGTGATAGTATGTACATATGAATTAAATCTGATCAATTTACACCATCATTTATTAAAACATTTTATTTCAGTGCGATTTCAACAGTAAAAACAACAAACAAAAGGTTACATTATATTTGAAATGGCAACCTCTAAACCAGGGGTCACCAAACTTATTCATTGAGGGCTGGCGTCATGCTGAATTTAGCTCCAACCCTAATCAAACACACCTGGAACAAGCTAACCTGGATCTTACAGAAACCTAACTAAAAACCTAAGAAACCTAACCTAACTTAACCTGGATATCCAGAAAGTTCTAGGCAGTTGTGTTGTGGAGAGATAGCGCTAAACACTGCAGGGACACCGGCCCAGGGACACTAAGATTGGTGACCCCTGCTCTAAACCATGCCCATCATTCTTTCACTCTGCTCAGATGGGGTGACGACCAAATCTAAGGTTACGCGGTCCAATTTTGGCCCAGGGGCCCAAGTTTGGGCATCCCTAGTCTAGTTTGAGCTGTTCTTGATAGTTACTAAACCAAATAAAGAACTTTACTAAGAGTTCAAAATGGGGGTTGACATTTGTTTAGTTAGGAAAAATAGTAACTGTGTAACAACTTTACATGTATAATACTATATATAAACTTACATTTTTTTAAAATTAAACTATGTAGTTTGCTTGCAAAAATACATCATACCTATATCTATTATTATTTTTAAACCGAAGTAGTACGACTGCATGTTTGTATTCATATCTTTACCACACAATTAGCAACTTATCTTATCTAAACCAGATTGGTTTATCACCATAGAGGCGGTCTTTTCCGATTTTAATTATTTAATGCTCACATTGAAGCCACATGAATGCAAAATCGGTGTAATAAATAGGTTTTTCACAACCCTTATTTAAATTAGGCATGCTTTATTATAGTAAAAATTTAGTAAAAAATGCTTTTGGTGCCTTGATTACCATTTGTAAAACAGTTTTATTACAATGGTCAAGGTTGTTTGATTTGCAAGATCTTATTTTGGTTTTAGTTGTAGTAAAAACCATAGTTAATTTTCCTCAGGGAACAATGTTTTTTCTGTATATGTGCTACATGGTTTCGGTAAAGTAAATAACAGATTAAACATACCACGTTTTTTACAAAAGTGCATTTTAATCTACATTTAATCACAGACTAAGCTTAAATGAGTATGTTTTTTGATATTTTATAATTCAAGTAAAGATAGAACTGGCGTTTGCTCTCCACAAAATGGGTCAGCCCAGTTGTAATCACCTTTCACTAGACCACTTAAATGGCTGACAGGAATTATAGTAAAGGCCATTTTAATCTCATGAAAGGCCAAATTCTCTGGCAGCTTTAATTCCTTTTGTAGAAACTAGAGCATGTGACTACAATCTGGGCAGCAATTGTGTAAGAAGAGCTCTGATGGCAAAGCTTCTTCCTGTATGAAAGAGCTCATACGTGTTTGCTCAAGGATCGCCTGTAACCTCCTAAGGGAATTTCTTTTCATGAATGTGGCATTAAACTCTGCTGACTGTCGTCCTGTTAAGTCAGTTTTCCCCTCTCACATTCCAGAATTCTTTTTTTTTTTTTTTTCCTTCTTTTTCTTTGAATCATCGAATCACGAGAGGAAGCATATTTTCTTTTCTACTTTGACTTCTGTAACGCATTCCAAAAGGACAGCTCGTCGACTGTTCGTGCCGCTTTGACTTGGAGTTTTTTGCCACCTTTTTCCTGTCAGGATTTAACACATTGGATTTTTGCACAAATGTGTAACGCAACGCACAAGGCTTCACTCTGTGGTATAAAATGTAGGTTTAAAATATGTCTGTCTATCTATTTATCTGTGCTATGCAGCTTGTTCTTTGTGTCATTTGTTTTAAAACCTACAAGCATTGTCTGAAATATCTTGTGCCAATGTTAGATTTGCTATACAACAGTGTGGGTAATGTTGACTCAGTGCTGCTTTGAGCTGGATTTTTTTGCCGCCTTTTTCCTGACAGGATTTAACATATTTGATTTTAGCACAAATGTCTGTCTGTCTGTCTGTCTGTCTATCTCAGCTTGTTCTTTGTGTTATGTGCTGTAAAACCTACAAGCATTTTATGAAATATTTTCTGCTTATGTTAGAATTGCTTTACAACATAGTGTGCTGCCTACTTAGACAGCATTTTGGGTGATTTTGTAGGAAAATTAACCATGGTCCTTCTATAAATATGGTATTTTTAAGTAAATAAAGATGGTAATCACAAAACAGCTTTGGTTTAGCTAAGTCCTATAGCTTAACCATGGTATTTGTAGTAAAACTGCGGTTCTAGAAATGATAACCAATGCACCAAAACTGTAGCTACTACACTTTTACTGCATTAAAAACCACAGTTCAAATAGATGTTTATGTCATTCTCTTTACAGTGCATCCAATGTGGCAGGAGCCGCTTGCCATCCCTGGGGGAGATCGACAGTCACCTATTGACATTGAAGTGCGTAAAAGCATCTTTAATCCGCAGCTCAGACCTCTGAAGGTACAATATGACCCAAGGACCTGCCAGCAAATTTGGAACAACGGTTACTCGTTTCTGGTGGAGTACGACGACACTACTGACAAATCAAGTAAGTCATTTTTAATACTCTTAATCAGTTTTTTTTTTTTTTTTTTTTTTGATAACTATAGTTTCTGATTCAAAAGCTATAGTCCTACAGTAGAACTTGAGCTTGGATTTATTAGCTATTCTCATTAGAAAAATTAAAGTATGGTTTTAAAGCAGTAACTTTGGTGGTAATTTCATTTTCTCCAACTAGAGATTTTCTTGTGTTATTGAATGAAGGGAAAATGTTTTAACTGTATGTAAAACTGTAGCTAAAACCAACAATTTAGCTGTTCTGTGGTTTGAGAAAACTGTAACGTCAAACTGAATCTCTTTTAGCTGTGAAAGGAGGACCACTGGAGAATCAGTACAGACTCTGCCAGTTTCATTTTCATTGGGGAGAAAACAACAACTGGGGATCTGAGCACTCTATAGACCGCCGGCTTTACGCTGCTGAGGTAACCTTTATGATTTATATTAATGTACACTGGAGAATGCGAAATGGCTCTAGTCTAGCCATCTGGATGTCATTTATTACTATGATGAATTACTTCTCTCTTGCAACACGTGTATTTCTCTGAAAAAGAGGGCGGGGTCTTTAAAGTTAAGAACAACCCACTTTTTCTATTGTAAAGTCACTTGAATGAATATGTGGTGCTAGCCCAGGACAAACTGTACTACTTTAACCGGTTACATAAGAAGCCATGTGTGAGTGACTTTACTGTGCCAGAAAGCCAAGTTTGGCTTTGTTAGTGCTGATGAGAATGTGACTGGGTTATGGCTTTCGACACTCTTTGAGCTCCACTGATTTGTGTGTGTGTGTGTGTGTTAGACGAGGTTCAGATTTCAGCCTTGTGTAAACGTATCTTCTATTGCATAAGGTGCTTTTATTCCCCCCTCCTTGGTTGAATACCAGAATGAATTAAATTCTGTCCTTTTGTACAGATTGTGCTGCGAGATAGAAGACTGTAGTAACATGAACTAAAGCAAAGTGGCTAGGGGTTATGGGGAATGTGCATATTTTCATAATTGGTGTGTATTGGTATAATGGGTGTGTGTCTTTTATTTTCACAGCTCCATATTGTTCACTGGAACTCCGACAAGTACAGTTTGTTTGAGGAGGCTGTTATGGAGGAAAACGGACTGGCTGTTATTGGAGTGTTTTTAAAGGTACAGATCTTTACAGTTATTGAGCATTTCCCTTTCTTTTTCCTGGGTGGCCGCGGGGTCTTAAAACGTCTAAAATCTCAAAAACTAAATTTTAGGCCTTTAAATAGTCTTAAATATACTGAAATATTGTGTTGTAGGTCTTAAATCCTTTTTAACAGGCCCTAATTTTCCTTTGACCATGTTATCTACTCAATCTAGCAATTAACACCCATACAATCATTAACAATTTATCTTAAAAAAACTTAACTTTTTGTTTAATAATGTTATTTTTGCCTCTATTTACCTTCATTTTAAAATTATTTTCCTCATAATCTTATTTGTTTAAAAGTTTCACATCTATTTACACTGGGGACACTGGCCTGGACAGACCGTCATGTATACATTTAGTTTATTATAGTTTTTCAAACATTTAAAACATTTGTCCCTTATTTTAGAAGGTTTATGTTGAAAAAAAAAAAGGTATGTTTACAACTAGAGCTTGCTTGTTTTGACACAATATTTCAAATATTTAAATTTGTTATTAAATTATTGTATTATTAAATGTATTAAATTATAATACTGTTTTTGATAGGGCAAATTTCAATATTTTCCATCTGGGCCATTTGAAAAACTCCTCAGTGTTTAGCTCTTTATGAGTCAAATTGATTCATAATGGTCTTAATAATGTCTTAAAGTCTTAACTTTAACTTGATGAATCCTGCAGAAACCTTTTTTTATTAAACTGGAATGATCTAGAACAACCACGATCTAGAACACATGCATAATTTACAGTCAACTGAATCCACTGTTGAAGTAATATAATGCAAAATGCTCAAATGTGATGGCGAACATTTACTAATTGTTGTAAAACATTTGAAAACAAAACAAGGTTGACACAACAGAGTTGACATTTTCCACTACTTTTATCTCTAGCTAACTTTAAATTAAATACCACATGGCATGTCTAAAATGGAATTGTATGTATTTTTGTCTTGTTTTTCTTATATTATTGTTTTGAAAAATTGAATCGCAAAATGACTGAAATATCACCATATGTAAGTGACATATAATCTACTATTGATGTATCCTAAACATTTTGAACTATTGAGAGAATAATGCTGACATTCCTCAGTTCTTTGTTATGGTTTATTTCTTTATAGTCACATTACTTTAAGCAGATCACATGCTTTTTATAACTTGATAGATTTTGTCTTTTAACTAGTTGACCAGACTGTTGGGACAGACAAAAAAGGGTTTGTTTTTTACTTACATTATTAATACATTATTGTGTAAATTAGTAGAGTAAACACACAAAAATAATAATATTAGACTTAATCATTTCATGATAATTGAAGGTAAATTTATGGTTCAGTAGGCAGAGGTAAAAAAATTGGTATTGTGGATTTCTTTTTAAATTAATATTTTCAAGAGTTCTCTAAAAATACTGTAACATTCACCCTTACTTCAGCAATTTACATAAAAATAACCATTCGTAATCCAGCATAGTACTGATCTAATTGTATAAGAAACTGTAACGACCGGATACATGTACACCCACCATTATATTTGATTACCATGACCCCAAACAGTAAATGCCAATATACATACTAAACATTTACAAATTAAACCAAATCACTACGTACAACTGTGGGTATGTGTATGTGTATGTGAGTGTGCGCGTGTGTATGTGTCTCTAAATGTGTATATGGATGGCCTCACCAGCATTAAATACATCACTGGGAGTTCGTTATTATTGTCCTGGGGCTCTTTCCTGATGGCAATCGAATAGTCTGATAACTCTGATAAAGTCCAATGAGTAAACCCCAGGCGAAAACAGCGATGTACGGACGACCGTGATCTGTTCACCTCTTTCACCCTCCTTTCTTTTACAAAGCAAACCGTCCTACCGTTACAGGTAAACAGGGAGTTTTATAAACAACACATCTCCTTTTATTTCATATACGTTAAAAGACACATACAAAAACATTTTTTGAGATGCTTTGATTTAATTTGCGTTATTATTTTAACCAGTTTCATTAAAGTATTTGAGAAATACTTTGAATAGGGTTATCTAGGACAGTGTTTCCCAACCCTGTTCCTGAAGGCACACTGGCAGCACACTTTTTTGTAAACCTCTCCATAATCAAACACACCTGACTCAACTCATCAGAACATTAAAGGAGGCTCCAAAACCTGACCAAAACGCAGTTCTAGAATCACCCAAATCAGATATTAAAGCTTACCAATCAATTATAATGTCTAAAAGTACATTTGTTTTGTTCTTTTAACAGGTTGGAAAGAGACATGAGGGTTTGCAGAAACTAGTGGACGCCTTGCCTGCAGTCAGACACAAGGTACTACATGTCAAACATTGTTTTGTAGGCATTGCGCTTGGCTTTGCTTTGAGGATGAAATGAGATTAAGTGCCTCAGGGAATGATGTTTTGGAAACAGATGGAGAATTTGATATTTATTAATGTTCTCATTCTTTTCCAGGATAGTGTGGTGGAGTTCAACAAGTTTGACCCATCGTGCCTCCTCCCGGAGAACATCAGTGACTATTGGACGTACCCTGGTTCCCTGACCACACCTCCTCTTACTGAGGCTGTGACATGGATTGTGATGAAGCAGCACATTGAAGTCAGTCACGATCAGGTAAGAGGCCGATTTTTCTAAATTATGCAGAATAAAAACACACACAATTTTTTAAGTAATTTTTTGAGTAAGTGTTGATGGAGCAGTAAGTCCTATAAGTACTGACAATTATAGACCTAATTATATTTTTGTATATTTTTTTCCTTTTTGTATCTTTAAGAAACACCCTTTTTGAAATAAAATTAGCATTAGGTCAGTGTGTTTCCAGTTTCTGCTCCGAATTCAGCTTTAGTACCTGTCCTTTTGTGTTTTATTGCTTCATAGTTTAATAACATCCTCACTTAAACAGCACTACTTACAAAAAAAAAAAGATTTATGGTCAGATTGAAATTACCAAGGATATTAACCACTGATTCCTATCTGTGGTATTATTTCCCTGTACACATTGCAGTACTTTCCCTGCTGAACCACCAGGGGGCCTCCTTGCTCCTAAAGATGAATTAAAGCATTGGTGTCAAACTCAATTCCTGGAGGGCCGCAGCTCAGTACTTTTGCTTCAACCCCAATCAAACATAGCTGATGCAACTAAACAAGGTGTTCAAGATTCTTTTGAACACCTCAGTTTTTTGGATTAGCTGTGCAGAGCCGCGGCCCTCCATGAATTGAGTTTGACACCTATGATTTAAAGGGATAGTTTACCCAAATTGAAAACATTTCCCCTTGATTGGCACAAACCTGTTTGAGTTTTTTTTTTTTTTCGGCTAAAAACAAAAGCAAATATACAAATACAATGGAAGTCAATGTTTACTGGTTTATAACATTATTGAGAATAACTTATTCTCAATAATGTTATAAACCAGTAAACATTGACTTCCATTGTATTTGTTTTTCTTATTATGGAAGTCCACGGTTACCAGTTTCTTACATTATTCTAAATATCTTCTTTTGTGTTAAACGCTTGGAAGCACTTAAGAGTGAATACATTGTAAGTAAATGTTCAGTTTTTAACTGATCACTTTAATAGAGCTGTGCAATTGATTTTAATCAGGTTGTAATTTTGTATTCCAATGGTTATGAAATCACAATGAAAATAACACAATGTCGCCTTTCCCATGTAACCTCTAAATCTTGCTATACTGTTATATTTCAGTGCTATACTAAAAAATAAATCGCATTTTTGTGATTTGCGAAGGAACAAAATAGACACGTATAGGCTACTCCGTACTTAATATGTGTGCTGAAACAGACAGATCAATGTGTTTCCATTTAAAATGAGTTAGCTATGTCTTAAATTAACATTGACCATCACAAATGTAATCAAATGCAAAAAAGGAATATAATCCAGTCACTTTCACTGAATAATTACAGTATGAATGTTTATTTACTCTGTGTACTACTTCTACTACTACTTCTAGTTTGTGTATAGTAGGCTAAATGAATTACATTTACATCAGTTTTATTTGTTCTTACTTTCTTATTTATTATTTTTATTGTATTATTGCCTGTTTCTACTCAGAGTTGTTTGTCAAAAGTAAAACCGCTCTGAAAATCGAACAGATTATTGGGGTATTTTGGAGTATATAGTCATACACAACCAGGAACAGTGGAGGGGTTGATGGGTATTTGCGTTTTTATTAACATCAGATCTTTTTAGTGCAAATTGTAAGAGAATGCTTATTCTAGAATGCTTATTAGAATTAGAAGTCTTATTAGAATGCTTATTAAGAGAACGCTTAATAAATAGGACTATCAAAAATGAGACTCTTCATGATATAAAACAGCCATAAATGTAGGCTCACACAAGCTGCTTTGACTCTGCTGGAAGTCTGTTTGTTATTCTGACTTCATGTTCCACCGCTCCATGGTAACCTGGCCGATGGAGTGGAAAAGCTCATCTGGCGGACAGCAAGACATCTGTTTTTTTCTGTTTGTTTTTTTTTACGTAAAAATTTCCTCTTTGAATGTGTTCCCCATTTAACATATACTTTTTTTGGTCTGTATTTTCAGTTGGCAGTGTTTCGGAGTTTGCTGTTCACATCGGCAGAGGAGCAAGTGCAGAGAAGTATGGTCAACAACTTCCGCGTTCAGCAAGACCTAAAGGGACGGGCTGTCCATTCTTCTTTTTCACCTTTTCTCAAAGAAACCCCCTCTAAGGAATAAGCGCAAATCTTAGTGACCTTCAAACAAAGCACAGACTAATCAGTCACTATTAACTATGGGATGTGTATCCACAAGGTGAAGGTCTTAACTGGACTTTTAAACCATTTCTAACCAGATGTTTGGGTGTAAATTGGAGATATTCTGTTGAAAGGGATATAGTTCAATTATTGTAAGGGCCAGTTTGTTCCTCTTTGTCAAAAGCTTTATGCATTCAACATTTCACTTTATTATAACAAGTCTCGAAATAATAATAATACTAGAATTTAAGATAATCTAATTTCAGATATGCAGATTTCCTCAATATTGTAGCAGGACAGTTGGCGCCCTCTGGTGGATCACTGACAGAATACACATCATTATGCCTCATGTTGGAGCCGTTCAAAGTTTTATTGTGTGTATTCTGTCCTTTTTATTATGTGTGTAGTCTGTGGTACATCTTTCCTTGTTTGTTTCGAGGGGATTACTTTTATGCATGAAGCTGCACAATGCCTTTAACTTCGGATTGTTTTTTAGATTTTCAATAGACCTAAAACACACAAATAGAAAATATCTGAAATATTTTAAGGCTACGTTTAAATATCGCTGTATAATATAGTTTTTTATGAAAAGTGCACTAGACACGTAGAGATGTTAGGAGAAGATTAATGCGCACAGTTGTTTAGTGAAGATTAATTGCTGTGTTTATGTACTTCATAGGGTATTCTCATCCGTAGTGCCTTTTGCATTGGATACGATCACTGATTATTAGTCAGTAATCTGATCAACTGCATCAACCATGTGGTCGGCCATATTTAGCTATTGTGCAAAACATGTGCCTCCATCACAAATCACTTATTGTCTTTGCTGATAGAGTTTTTTGTATGTTAATCTGTGGATCTTTAAAGTGTATTCAGTGATGGGGATTTGTTAGTAGTCTCTAGATGAGAATGTGTTATAATATAGATGTATATGGTAGAACTTGATTGATGTTTTTGTCGCCGTTTTATGAAAAAAGCTTTTAGAAACGGGACCTTCATTTTTCAAGTGTCTTCAATTTCTCCAATAGAGGCGCATGTGAGACCATGCGGACACATTTTGTTAATGAGATCTACAGTAAGACCAACTGATTGTTGTATTTTAACTTTGGTGCATTCCATTTTACGTAACCAATACATGCAGTAGACGTCTGTAAGAATGAATCCATCAATAAGACCAGTACTTATAAATCCAGGGGTGCGTTTCCCAAACGGCGTATCTCGCAGCTGAATTATCGTGCATTGTTTGGGAAAAGAACGTTGTGGTGAGGAGCGTTTCCCAAAACCGTAGTTTCTCTGTCACAGATCCATCGTTTGAACCACGCTATATCGTAAAACGTTAATAATGGCGCTCTAAATGGGGTGGAGTAACTACTTCTTTAGAGTAAAACCCTATAATGTTTTGTACAAATTATATTATTTTACACACACGCGCATTTTATTAAAATAATCCAATTTAAGTTTAGGTAAAAACATGCACTCGTTTTTTATCTCAATTGAAATAGGGCCTGTGTTTCCTTTACAAAAATTATTGAGAATGTTCTGTATTTTATTCTAAAACATAAAACCACTTAGCTAACACGTATTTAATCTCATATAAATCAAATAAATCGTTATTGGTTGTAATTTAAAGTAGGCTACTTATTAAGAAATTAAAATCCTACTTAGAATAATAATTATTATGATTTTATTCTTAATATTAAGTAGGATCTTGTTTATTTTTTATTTTATTTATTAAAGTCTACTTTTACAATTTGACACATTCAAACCACTGCAGAAATGTTCTAACCAACAAGCTCATGTCAAATACAGTACAGATACATTTCTTAATAAATAACCTAATATAAATTTAAAAGCATTAACGTATGCTGTTTTTGTTTTCACAAGCTTTGGAGACGTAACATAAATTCTGCTTTTAAATAATAGGTCACCTATAGCTTTTGTCATGAGCCTCAACGGCGTTCAATTGACATACTTGTTTTCAAAGTGCACTAAGAAGGAAGTGCAATTGTCAATCTAAAGATTGCTAAAAGTGAACTGTAAAAACTTGGAAAGCAAATTACACCTAACAGAGATGACTTTAATGTTTAAATTATTCCAAGTTTAAATGCTGGTAGGTTTGAAAGGAATGGTACATGGGGGGGATAACTAGAAACAAAACGCAACCAGGAACTATGCTTCTAACTACAGCTCTATAGGTGTAGTTGCAAGCATACAAGTTTGTGGCTCAGTTTGCGAGTGTTCATTGAAACGATGAATTTGGGAAATGCCAAATCAACAAACTATGTTTGCAACAATGCTACTTGCGACTTTAGTTGGCTAAAAATGGTTTTCGAAACCACCCCTGTACAATAAGTTGATAGTATTATTTATGCACAAATGAATTGTATATTAAGATTATTGACAGCTAAAGGTTATTAGATTGAAGATGATAATATGTTGAAGATGGTAACATCAATGTTGAGGTTTTTTTTTTTCAGGCAGATGCAGAAACCACAGTTCAACATACAGCTTTGTAATTTCCAAGAGACTGTGGTTTCTTTGTGATGGCTGAGTAACAATGTTCTTGTATAAACTCTCCCCAAAGTGGCCTCACTTCTGAATGGGCCACCTGGTTTTCTCCCTATTGTGGGTCCATGGTTGATATTCAGGGTGATACTAACTAGAGTGGAAAACTGGATTTGTACTGTATAAGCGCTAAGTTTCCTCCACCTGAGTCTTGGGCTACTCTGAGAGTAGTGAACATTCTTTCACATCAGGAGGCCTTGGAACAATATTTTCCCATTGAAGCAGTGTTGAATGGTGTGTAAAGACACCTTTTGTCGGTTGAATTTGGATTATGCAGTGGGTGGATTATGGATTGAAAACATTATGGCATTTTATTTTGCTGTTATGGGATGGCATGATGTGTTTTTCTTTTTTCTTCACACTCTTTGGTCTTTCTTTTAAAGAAGCAAGGCCTTTTTTAAGGGAAATATTCATCTCTGTTTTACACTAAAACTACTTTTGGTTTATGGACTGTCCCTTCACTGAAGTCATAGTCGAAACTGTCATTTTTGCTGCCTGTTTTAAATTGTATAAATCATATGTGTGCTAGAGATTGTAAAAGTATGATTTCATTCTCGTTTGCAAATGCTGTATTTTATTCATTATTAGCTTAGTGAGATTTTTTAAGAAAGTAAGAAGTTTTGGTGGTTATTCGTTTTGTTTAACTTCTGGGCGGATGCAAGCAATATGCCCTGGGGATCTGAGCAGGAAGCGGGTGGTGCCGGAGGTTTATGGAGGCCCCATCCCAGCAAGCGCTGTTGCACCAGGTGCTGGTGAGGTCCGGATCAGCTGCGCAAAAAAACTACGTTTAGCAAAAGGGGTGCCTATAGACCCAAAAGTGAACATCAACACTTGCACAAAGAAACCTCTCATTAATGCTGTACAAATGTTGTGTATTAACATTTTTATGTGTAAACCCCACATCCTAAAGAAATAAAACGATCTTAAACCAACTCTTCTTGAGTGGGCTGTGTGTTAATCATGGAAAGCAATAATTTTGTAATTACTATAAACTATCTTTCAAAATGCATTTGGTACTCCTTTTCCTGAAATTGACCAGCTACTATACGCTTAGCTAGAAGTTAGATTTGGATCCACTTTGACCTTCAGAACCACCTTCATTATTTGTAGCACAGATTCAAGAAGGTGGGAACACTCCTCAAAGAATTTTTTCCATATTGGCATGATAGCATCAAGGAATCTCTGCAGATTTGTCAGCGACATATCTCCCCTTACACCATATCCAAAGGTGCTCTACTGGACAGATCTGGTAACTTGGGTACATTTTGGTAGTATACTTACTCTCATGAAATAAGTTTTAAAAAAATGTTTAAGCTTTGAAAAATGGTCCATCACAATGCTTGAAAGTAGCCATCAGAAGTTGGTTCACTGTGGTCATAAATGGATAGACAGAAACACTTAGGTAGGCTGTAGTGTTTAATGTGGGAATAGAGGCCCAACATTGATCAAGAAATGCCATTACACAATCACAGCTGACCTAAACCATTGATACAAGGCAGACTGAATCCATGTTTTCATTTCTTTACACCAGAGCAGGGGTGTCTAATCCAGCTCCTGAAAGCCACTGTTCAGCATATTTCAGATCCTACCCTTATAAAACACACCTGAACTAATCAAGGTCTCACTAGGCATACTAGAAAGTTTCAGACAGATGTGTCTGCCCTCTTCCAAAATGCCAACCATATGATTTTTAAAGGGTCTGAAGAAATCAACGGCAGGTGTTTCCCAAAGCAATTAAGTTTGAAGATGGAGTCAACTCACAATCTTGACCAGAGGAACTTCACTTATCCATAGGACGTCACACCATCCCAATACTGCAGAGGAAATTGAGACTTATCAGGTAAGGACACTTTTTTCTGCCCATTTATTTGTTGTTTATTTAAGTGAGTCAATGCTAATTATTTTCAGTTCACTGTTCTTGGCTGACAGGAGTGACACTGATGTGCTTTTCTGATGCCGAACCTCACTTCAAAGTGTGATGTGTTGTGCATTCAAACGTGCTCTGGATACATTGATTATAACAAGTGGTTAGAATTTTTGTTAAGTTCATCATCTCCTGCTTATCTGGGGCCAAATTGCTGGGACAGCGGTCTCAGGAGAGAGCCCCAGACTTCCCTCTACTCAGACTCTCCTTGCAGCTCCTCTGGGGGGATTCAGATGCGTTCCCAGGCAAGCCAAGAAACATAGTCCTACCAGTGAGTCCTGTGTCTTCCCAGGGGCTTTCTTCCTGTGGGACAAACCTGGACACCTCCCTTTGTAGGCGTCCAGGAGGCATCAGAAGCAGATGCCCCAGCCACCTCAACTGGCTTCACTTGATGTGGAGGAGCAGCGGCTCTACTCCAAATTCCTCCCAGGTGACAGCTCCTCGCCTTATGTACCAACATGTATGCCATATTCAAATTTAATTAATTAATTACTTTCCCCCTATACTTACTGGCTGTTACCAAAACAGCTGCTGAAACCCTTAAGTAGTGCATTTGTGGGAGAAGCCATTTGTAGTGGCATCCAAAACAGTAGTAGATTTTCTGAAGTGCACTCAATCTATCCATTAATGCACCACAATAACGAGATGAACACTCAATGACTAGAGAATGCTCATAATGCTGAGTTTCCTCTGGCACGGTGCTAGAGCATAAGTATTTTCAATTCATGCTTTACACAGTGGATGCCCTTCCAGCTGCAACCCATCACTGGGAAACATCCATACACACTCATTTACACACAAACTCCACACAGAAATGCCAACTGACCCAGCAGAGGCTCGAACCAGCGGCCTACTTGCTGTGAGGTAATCGTGCTATCCACTGCGCCACCGTGACACTAAATAATTTACTTTGTTTTAATTAAACATTTGTATACATGACAGAAATCAAATGACTTTGTTTCATTACTAACAGACAGCTCGCTAAGCATTAAATAACTATTTAATGTTTTGCAAACATAAACAAAATGGCATACCCTTCCAGTGCTCCAATTCATTCACTCCTTTAAGTGCACTATGTTAGTGAACTAATGTGTGAATTGGGGTATCGGGGTGGTTTCGGATACAGCAAATGCCTAAATGCACTGTCTTGTGTCATGTGATTGCTTGGTTAAAGTATCAAGCTGTTGAACAGGTAATGTAATGCTGAGGTCACATTTTTTCGACACACAGACTTCCATTAATATGCATGACAATGCCGCAAACCGGAAATGCAAGTTTGTGCAACAAGTTTTGCAGGTTGCTGCATTCCAAAGTCCAAGTTACTGAAATCTGACCTACGTAACTGCACAGCGTGAATCCGTGAAACCAATAGAAGATCAAAACGTGACTTCTCTGTACAGAAATGTAAAATACTGTGCCATCGTTTGCTTTATCCATATCTAATCATCTTGTTTTCAATTCATCTTTATCTCTACAGTGTTTTTTACAATGGAGATTGCGTCAAAGCAGCTTAAGATAGATGTTGTAGTGAATTGAAACTGTCAGTCCAGTTGAAGTTCAGTTCAGTGTGTTTTAATTTTCACTTGTGAAAGTCCAAACAATGAAGAGCAAATCTTCAATAACAGTGGCGGAACAAACTTCACCAATTAACGAAAGTGAAGGCAAAAAAAAAAAACCTTGAGAGAAACCAGCCTCAGTTGGGGATTACCATTTCTCCTCTTGCCAAACTTCCTGTGCAGAGCTCCAGTCTAGGCACCGGAGGCTAAAGAACCCTGGGCGTCTAATGAGGAGAAGCTGCAGGTGTGAGAAGGTCACTGGCTGATGTATAGGCTGGTCCACGGGATCAGTGTGGAGACTCGTCTATGACAGGTCTTTCAGAACTCAGTCTCATGCTCTCCACTCCACCATCACCACCACTGCTCAGGATACGACCTGGTCTAAGATTATTAGTTTTTTCATGCCTCTTGTCACATGGTCGTATGACAGTAATTCACATGCTTAAACTCAGTTTACTACATTTACATTATCAGACACCTTTATCCAAAGTGATTCGTGAACACATAGCCAGGGGGCAGTTGGGAGTTAGGTGGCTTGCTCAAAGGCATAAGTCTCCAACTCAATTCCTAGAGAGCCGCAGCTCTGCACAGTTTTGCTCCAACCCTGATCAAACACATCTGATTCTACCAAGGAAGTGGTTCATGACTCTCTTGAACACCTCAATTATTTGGATCAGCTGTGTTTGATTAGGGTTGGAGCGAAATTGCACAGAGCTGCGGCCCTCCAGGAATTGAGTTTGAGATCTATTTTCAAAGGAACCAACTATTCCCACCAACAATCCATGCTGGTACTGGGACTCAAATCTGCAACCTTTGGATCTCTAGTCCAACTCTCTAACCATTAGGCCATGGCTGCCCACTCATGTTGGCAACTCAACACTGCAGCATTGCAGGATCCCATGCAATCAACCGAAAGCCTCCAATAATTCGGGGCTAGACAGCACCTCAAAAAATCAGACAGAGTATCTGGCCAGGGTGTGGGTGTTTGCAGAGGCTGAGGAACCTGGATTGAGTTTTGTCTCAAACTTTGTTCAAAAAGATTCCGTTCCGTGTTTGTTGTTCTTGGCCGCATGAGTTATAAAAATGGGACGAGACACTGAGTTTTCGCGTATCCCAAACACACCATGGTTTCCTATCATTGTGTGGGAGAACTTGGGAAAATGCTCTTTGAGCTCAACAGGAAAAACAAACTATGGAGGCGACCTGATTGAAGAGCAGCAGATCAAGATGACTCCTTTGGAAAACTCTGCAGATGGTCACAGTTGTGATGAGGGAAGAAGTTTGGCAACTGACAATGGTGGATGCTGAGGTCTTTTTGAGGTTGGCTAACTGAATAGAAGTCACAGATAAAAGTTCCTAATAAGAGGCTCCTTCCTCTTACGCTGGTTTTGTTCTTCAGTGTTGTTTCAAGTTATTTTTAGACAAAAAGTAAACTCCATTCACGCCTATTTACCTTTTATAAACAGGAATCAATGGCTTGAAGATATTTCTTAGAACTCCAAATCCATCTGTTTTCCTTTTTAGATCAAAAAGAGGTCCTGAGAGTTTATCGGCCAACTGGTTCAATTCACAATTTAATCCATGTTCAAACTCTTAAACCACTCAAGTTCATACCTACAAATTTTAAATACAAGTTTGGAAAAGCTGACCCTCTTAAGTTTCACGAGCTGACTGTTTTCCACTTTTAATGATAACCAGCCCTTGTGATGCCAGGGAACTGAGACACCCGCGCCCCTCTCTCCAGTTGAGAAAGAAAACTGAACTTTGAAATATCAGGGCACAACACAGCAGTAACCACATAACTTGTACCACGGAAAAGAAATCACCTGCTGGCTCATTTATCTTTAAGCTGAAAAAACATACACCATTAAATACAAACTAATTCTCGTGATAAGAGCACACGTGCATAGAGGATGCAGGTGGCAAATAACCCTGATGAATATAACCTTTAAATTAAGGTCATGAAGTTCGTGAGTATTACTAACACACTTGCCCCCTGCAGATAATACTCCCCTGGTCTTTTGAGACGGATACCTTGTGACATGCAAGTATTTGTCTTTGAAATGCGAAAGCTTGTGGGTGAAATTTAAGATGTTGTTTTGTTTAATTTGAGAACCAATATCTTTGAAGGCCAAAGGGAATGTCACATGATTTTTTTTCAAGGGTCTACTTGAAAACAGGAAATTAGCAGGGACAACTTTGTTATTTTTTCATAAGTTTCTTCAGACATTATGATCAAAGAATTGTCAAGAGGTGAATGAGAAATGGCAGCTAATGGTACTTCACGTCTAGCCAGGGATTCTGAATATATTTAAAACTGAAATTAAGCATTTGGAAAAAAAACGTCTAGTCATTCTAGAGGAAAAACTCATTATCCAGTTTCCTAACCAATTGTTCAAGTTCAAGGTGAATTGCATTGGGTTTGTATGGATTGTGATAGAAATGCCAAACTA